TTTGACATGCAATGCCCGTATTCACCTATATGGCACTAAACAATTAGAGCCTTTTTCCATAGCATAATCCAACCATTAAGACATTGAAAACATAAGTTGAGAATCAAATCATACTATTTAATTTCATTTTTATCCTAATTGTACTTGTGTTTAGTAGGGAGGAAAGAGGAGATTAACGAAAGATGGGGCCATGTCCAGTCCATAAGTAGTGCGTTATTAACACACTATTACATAGTAAGCCGCCCACCGTATCTCAAAATAGTTTTTCAGAGGGAGAGCTTTCGAATGGTTAGGTCGTTTACTTCATGGAAACTTCTTTACCACTTAAACAATAGAGCTTGTGAACAACAACTATAAATAGGACATGACTACTTCTTAGATATCCATTCTACAAATTTTGAAAACTACTAAAGGATTAGAATTCTAGAGAAATATTAATTAGCTACGATATACGTACATCATTTTCTTGTTATTCTTTTATTCTTCTCCCGTTTCAAGAAATTAAGATTGAGAAGATGGGGTTCATTTCAAGCATCGACAATGAGCTGCTTTCTAAGGTAGCAACCAATAATGGGCATGGTGAAAACTCAGCCTATTTTGATGGTTGGAAGGCCTATGAAATTGATCCTTTTCATCCAACACAAAATTCTGATGGGGTTATTCAGATGGGTCTCGCAGAAAATCAGGTAACAAGAAAAAACTAGTAACACGCTTCCTCGGTTCCATATGATACTCTTTTCTTTTAATCTGTTCTAAAATAAAGAATGTTATCTTTATATATTTAGATCTTTTTGATGTTAAACTTTTCGTTTATCTTTGATGATATACTTTTATAGCCCCCAAGCCTCTAAAACAGAACTTTTGGTATGTGTCAAAAGTATTCTTTTTCAAAACGCTATGCTCAGTCAAACATTTCCATTTAAAATGAAACTGAGGGAGTATATATTGTTTAAACGATGCGTTTCCAGAAACATAGGTTTATGTTTTTGTTGATGTTGTTGCAGCTTTGCTTTGATTTAATACAAGAATGGGTGGTGAAGAATCCAAAAGCCTCCATTTGCACAGCTGAAGGGTCTCAAGATTTCAAGGATATTGCAATTTATCAAGATTATCATGGTTTGCCAGAATTCCGAAGTGTATGAACTTTAAACTGAAAAATTATTATACCAACATTTTTTTTTTCCCTTTTTTTTCCCATCAGTGTTGTGTGTGTGTGTATATATATATATATATATATATATATATATATATATATATATGCAGGCTGTTGCAAGGTTCATGGGAAAAGTGAGAGGAGACAGAATAACATTTGAGCCAGAACGCATAGTTATGAGTGGAGGGGCTACTGGAGCTCATGAATTACTGGCCTTCTGCTTGGCTGATCCTGGAGAGGCATTTCTGGTTCCTACACCCTATTATCCAGGGTAAAGCACCATCTCATATCTTAGTATTTTTTTGCTTTCTCCTCCAGTATCCTACAGACGTCTCGACTAATTAATTTGCGTCATATAGGGCCTATACTAAAGGGAGAATCGTTCTCTACTAGGATTTTTTTCATTCTTAGAGCTCAAACTCGAAATCTCCAATTAAGAGTCGAGAGGTCCTAGTTCATTCCACTACAGCCCATGGTGATTCTCATACCTTAGTCATTCACCCCAAACCCTAGCATTATGAATAACCCCTTTTATTATATGAAACTACGAATATTGGAAATTATATTCTAGTATAGTAAAAGATAATATTTCCTCCACGACTTCTTTTTATTTTATTTTATTTAATCCAAAAAAGATTAACAGCATTATATATTTAAATATTTACTTTTTCTTCATACCAACTCCTATAGGAATTGACACGATGTGTATAGTATGCCTCTTTGGAGCATAAACAAATAGTACCACTTCTACATTAGTAATAACGATATACTTTTGATATTTTAATTAAGGATAGTTAATTCTCATGTAGAAGCCTTTGTTTTTTTACTTAAATTCGTGTTCGATCAAACACCACCAAACAAATTACAGGACGGATCGTGTAACATGCATGGTTTTCTATTTTGTCTTCAGCACCCGGAAAGAAATTCTCCTTAAGTTTTTTTCTGGGACAAAATATTGAAGTACTAATAAGTATTTTCAAATTTTTTTATTTGCAGATTTGACAGAGATTTGAGGTGGCGAACTGGGGTGCAACTTTTTCCTGTTGTTTGTGAAAGCTCTAACAATTTCAAGGTCACAAAAGAAGCCTTAGAAGCTGCATACCAGAAAGCTCAAGAATCCAATATTACAGTAAAGGGCTTGCTTTTAAACAATCCATCTAATCCACTGGGCACAATCTTAGACAGGGAAACATTAAAAGACACAGTAAGGTTCATTAACGAGAAAAACATCCACCTCGTATGTGACGAAATATACGCTGCCACAATCTTTAACAAGCCCGATTTCATCAGCATATCCGAAGTAATAATGGAGGAAGATGTTGAATGTGACCGCGATTTAATACACATTGTTTATAGCCTGTCAAAGGATTTGGGATTTCCTGGATTCAGAGTCGGGATTATTTACTCATACAACGATGTTGTAACAAATTGTGCCCGAAAAATGTCAAGTTTCGGGTTAGTTTCAACACAAACTCAATTCTTGATTTCAAACATGCTATCGGACGAAAATTTCGTTACGAAATTCATTGGTGAGAGTAGTGAAAGGTTACAAAAAAGACATGGCATGTTTACTAGGGGACTTGCACAAGTGGGGATTAACACATTGAAGAGTAACGCTGGCTTGTTTATATGGATGGATTTGAGAAGGCTTCTTAAGGAGCTTACATTCGAAGCTGAGCTCGAACTTTGGCGAATAATTATTAATGAAGTTAAACTTAATGTTTCGCCCGGTTGTTCTTTTCATTGTTCAGAGCCTGGTTGGTTTAGAGTTTGTTTTGCAAATATGGATGATGAAACTATGAGGATTGCCTTAAGAAGGATTAACAACTTTGTGATTCAACGTAAAGGGATTGAAGGAGGAGTCAAGAAATTACAATGTCGGAGGAGTAAATTGGAGATTAGTTTATCGTTCAGAAAATTGGATGATTTTATGAACTCTCCTCACTCTCCAATGTCTTCGCCTTTGGTCCAGGCTAGGACATAAAAGTTAAAAAAAGGGGGGTTATTACTTATTAGAACTTGTAATGTTTCTTTTTCTTTATATTTCCTTGTTCGAAATTGAATGAATAATCAAGTCTTAACCACCGCTTTTACTGCATTTAGTAATATTTGTATTGTTCAGTCTTCGGCCTTGAACATTTTTTACCTTGGCTTTCAATTTTTTTTTACTGAAGAAAAGGATTGGTGGGGTTTACCTTATTTGAAATTTTAAATTAAAAGGACGTAATAAAAGTGTTTCCAAAATTGTACAGTTATACAATAATACAATGTTGACTCTCTTTTGGTACAATTTGACATATTACTTTATTTAGGAATAGCATAAATTTAATAAAATGTTGGTACGCGGTTGCCATTTCAATTGGATGGTAAGACTTATCCGTACGCACTTAAAAAATAGGGTGGAGCTTATCATTAGGCTGCTAAATTCTCTAATATCCATTGAGTTCAGAGTATCTGGACTAAAGCACTCTTCAACACAAATTGATGTTAAAACCATCCAAACTCCAACTCATTAGTATTTTGACTATCATCAACAAGTCAACTAAATCTCTTAAAATCCCTCCATTATCTAGCTTTTACTAGTCCTCTATTTGATTTGGCAATGCAAGGGGTTATTTGGAAAGTGCAGATACTTAATACTAACGATAATATTGAAAAATAATAATAAATGTCTCATGATTTACTAAAATTAGAAAGTAAAAGGAAAAATTTATTTTTAGTATAAGACTAGTAAAAGGGAATGGAGGGAATAATAAAATATGTTGAAAGTTAAGCTGGCATTATTTTAAGAGTTCATTACTCAGATGATTATCCAACTTCAAAATATTATGGACTAAAGTTACTTTTTTTCGTTTGTAACATGAAAGTCACTCAACTATTCTTATTGTACACAAATGATCACTCAACAGAAATTATCAAACTTTCCGATGAAAAAATATGACATGGTAGTCCATATAGAACTTTTTATATTTTTGGACAAAATAAAATAATTAACACCCAAACAAAATATAGAAAATCCCCCGTACACCCAACTTGACAAGCTAAAAATTAAAATCCATCCCGCTAAATAGAATGAAATGCTAAAACATATGCATGTTGCAAATGCATTTCTCTTCTTCTTATAAAAAATAGATTTTCTTTTTATGGTTTTACTCAAAGACTAATTAAGGACTAGACTAACATGCATTTTTCTTTTCTCAATGACTTGTATGATTCTTTTTCATGATTTTTTTCTACTTTTATAATATAATAACGGGTACGAGATTAAGAACTAGAGTGAACCATGAAAAAAGAAGAAAGTAACTTATTACATGCAAGTCATGACTTACTAGGTAAATACTAGTAAGATTTATCGATAGTAAAGTTCTTTATATTGCTAATATATATAATTTAAATCCATAACAAAAAGCAAACGCAAAAACCTTTTGGCTAGTTGGGGTTGAAGAGAAGAGGTTGCCATTTTCTCAGTGTTGAGAGATCTTTTCACACAACTAGAAAATGGGCCTATGGCAACAGTTTGTTAGTAACGGTTCACAAATCGTTGCCATAAAGAGGATATAGTAATCGTTACAACCGTTACAATAGCATTTGGGTGATATCAGCATACTTTAACTGTCAAACCGTTCCAATTGTAGCAGAACCGTTGCCATAGAATGTAACCGTTCCAATAAACAGATTTATGGAACGGTTCTGGATGTTTTTTTATGGGAACAATTTTTCATTCCCTTTTCATTTCCCCCCCGAAATTTGGTAAACCCGCCAAATGAACCCCCATTTTTTTTTTTGTATTTTTGATTAATTTTAATAATGTAAATATGAAGTTAATTAAAACCTTTTCTCCTTTTCCCAGCAAACCCACCCACCGGTTCATTAGATATATCCAATGAACCCATCTTCTTCTTTTTTCCTCTCAAGATTCATTCCCTCAAAATCCTCTCTTTCACTCCTAAACTCCAAATCCAGAAATAGATTCATCTCAAAATCCTCTCTTTCCCTAAGATCTTTCTACTTCTAATGTATTTCATATCCTTATAGATTCATCTCAAGGATAGTTTCTAACCTTTCCCAAATCCCCAAATTCCAAAATCAATTTTATGCTAGAATCGGAGAAGCCGTCTAAACGAATATGTAAGTTTTGTTATCTGATTTGGTTTTTTTCCTTTAATCGTTCCTTTTTCTTTAATTTTAGGTCGTTTGTAACCCACACCGAGTTCTTGAATTTTAGATTATTAATGTGGATCGTCTTCTACTGGAGTTTTGAGTGATATTGCTATTGTTGATAGTCGTTCGTCTTTGGATTGGAGAGAGAAATGTGTTGTTACTACAGTCAAAAATCAAGGTAGTTGTGGTCTGCTCAGTTTATTACATTATATTTTAGTTGTATCTTTATGGTGATTTCATTTTTGTGGAGGATATATAAATTGTGCATAGTAGAGCCAACAGTACAAATTTTTATAAAGTTTGGATTTTGATGATATTTATCTTAAATGACAATGGAAACTTGTGATGTTTTTTGCCTTTTTCTCTTGTCTAGGAAACTTGTAATTTCTCTTACAATGTTCAGTTGTCCCTGATCTTTCTTCCTATTTCATCAGAGATTCATTAGCTTCCGTTTCTTCCTTCACTAACACACAACTGGTCATTCTATTATTCTTTACAATATCGCCGTGAAAACACAGAACTGGTCACTGTAAAAAGGCATTCAACAGAGCAGCCAACAAGATAACTTTTCCACTTAGCTTTAACGTGTAGAAATGGAAGTTTACTTCAAGAATCCTAAATTTTATCCTATAAGATTATTAAAGAAGTCTAAGAGCTCCTATAATTCACAACATTCAATTTGAACAAGAGTAATGTGACAGCCTTACATTTGATAAACTTAATTTACTAGCCAGATTGTTGGTTTTACTACTAAGCTGCTTGACTATCTTCATAACAGAGCACATCCGAGGAGTAAAACGTGATTGAATTGTCATTCGTTTTAGCTATTGAACCATAAACTTCACCAGACTACTCCAGAAATGATGCCCGTGCACTGTTTCTCTCTTTCTTTCTTTCTAGTGAAGCAATTTTAGAAATTTAAGGCATCCAATATTACCTTTTTTGGTTATTCAGTAGGGTACACATATAAATCAGAGTGACAGATTGCAGATAGATGAAAGACCTTACACTTTCATGGCATTTAATATCTCTGTGAGAACTGATTGTGTATTCGAGGTGATAGGTCCATATAACTTCTCATCTGCCACAAGCTTTTCATTTTTGAACTGATCCAAAGGGGACGAATGCCATGAGTGAAGTACACTAGCAGTCTGGATAGTTCACCTTGTTTGAGGGTGTACGCTATATGATTTTATTGAATCTGTAGTTTTTGCCTCAACTGGTGTGGGTAAACATACGGTTGAAACTTGTTTGAGAGTGACGAAGTCATTCGTGTGGCACCCCCCTCAGAAGGATCTTGTTTCCTCCCAATCAAAAGTGGTGTTGACTTGGTGCTATTAATATCCCTGAAGAAGGAAAAAGAGTTTTCACCATGACTCTTATTGAGATTTTCCTATAAAAACCCACAGAAGAAATATTATTAATCTCCAGAAAGTGACATGTTGGCTTCAGCAACCTCATACGAGTGGAGAAACCATAATAAATCAAAGTGAGAAAGACAAAATTCGTCATTTGTTTTTTATCAAGATATGAGAGCTAGCAACAAGAATCAAATAATGTTTATTGAGAGCTAGCAACAAGAATCAAATATTCTACATGGCGAATGAGAGCTAGATAAATGTTTCATGAGATATTACTGATTTGGTCGCTAGTCTTTTTTCTTATTATTCGTTTAAATATGAACTTACTAACTTTAATCTGGTATACACCACTTTTTATATAATCAGGAAAAAAAGAAAGAAACTTCTGAACCTCTATCAAGCAAGGACATCTTTGTGGCTACAAGGCCTCGTATGCGGATACTCTTAATAAAATTGTACGAGTTATTAATTTAAAGTTTGTTGTTATCATAGACGACAAAAGCTTAGGGGCTCTATTTATAAAAGAATTACATGTGGTTATTCCATGCTAAAGCATGACCCAACAATATCCTTTAAAAGTATTCGATTGTAAATAATATTTCTTAAAGTTTTTAGTTAGATATGAGGACACAAATTATATTTTTTATATAAGTAAACTTCTTGCAGTAGAAGAGTATTGGATGTACAGATACAACTGCAAAAGCTAAAGAAAAGAGGAAGTGAGAAGAAAGTGAGGATGACTGCGGTCATTAGTGACCACCCTTAATTAGTTCCTGTGAAGAAGATCAATTTTCAGCTCATGGCACACAATCTCTATGAGTCCTAATACATGCAGATCTAGAGGGAGCTAGTTTCAGAGAGAAGTGATGAAGCAAAAGTTGTGCACTGAGTTTTGGAAATTTTCTGAATGAATATTTCAACAGTTGTACAGGGCTTTATACACGTGTTTCTCAACATAATTACTCGACCTTCTTAACACTCCTAATTACAGTTATAACTAACTATCCAACTTCAGTTAACACTACTAACGAAAGTTACTCTGTTAGTGCTACTAACTATAGTTACTACACCATAGTTACTTAACCAATCCCACTCTCAATACTCCCCCTTAAGCTGGTTGGTACAAAAACATTAAGCACTCCCAGCTTGGACATCAGGTACTCATGTTGTGGGTTTCTTAAAGCCTTTGTAAGAATATTTGCCAGCTGGTCCCTTGTATTGACATGAACAATCTTTATAATTCCTTGTTGGATCTTTTCTCGAATAAAGTGGCAATCTATCTCGATATACTTTGTTCTTTTGTGATACACTAGATTTGCAGCTATCTGTAGTACTTCCTTGTTGTCACAGTGTAACTCAACATGCATTTCAATTTTAGTTCCAAGTTCCCTGAACAATCCAATCACCCAAACTAATTCTGACATAGTAGAAGCCATGCTTCTTTACTCAGACTCTGCTGAACTCCTTGACACAGTATTTTTTTCTTTGATTTTCAAGAAATAAGTGAATCACCATTCTTTACTATGAATCCTGTGACTGACTTTCTAGTATTTGAACATGATGCCCAGTCCGCATCACAATATGTAGTTATTTTGTTACTCTTCTTGCTACTCATCAATACTCCCATTCCTGGTTCCCTTTTAATATACCTTACAATTCTTAATGATGCCTCCCAATGAGACCTTTTAGGATATTGCATGAATTGGCTAAGTGTCTGCACAGCAAAAGCAATATCAAGTCTGGTTAATGTCAGGTACAATAACTTACAAATCAGCCTTTGGTACTGCTCTCTATCTTCAAACAGCTCATCAGTGTTTTCCCCTGCAACATCATTTGATTCTTTGCTGGTGAATTTCTGATTGTTGTCAAGAGGTGTGTTTACTGTTTTGGAGGCACTCAGTCCCACATCTGAGATGAGTTCTAAAGAATATTTTCTCTGGTTCATCAAGATTCTTTGTTGTGACCTACAAAATTCAATCCCCAAGAAATACTTTAGCTCACCAAGGTCTTTTACTTTGAAAGCTTCCTGCAAATCCCCTTTTGTAGCAAGAATTTGTGCTAAGTTATTTCCTGTCACTAACATATCATCCACATACACTAGGATGATCACTATGTTGCTTCTCTGTTTCTTTGTGAAAAAGGAATAGTCCATGTTACTTTGCACAAAATCTTGCTTGGTCAGTGCTTCACATTCCACTGTCTTCTATCTTGCTTGAGTCCATACAAGGATTTGACAAGCTTACAAACTGCTCCTTTATTCTCCCCTAGCTTGCAAAACCTTTTGGGAGCTGCATGTAAACCTCTTCATAGAGGTCGCCTTGTAAAAAGGCATTGTAAACATCCATTTGACGGAGATACCAATCTTGAGCAGTTGCCATAGAAATCACTGCTCTAACAATCACTATTTCCACCATTGGTGAGAAGGTTTCTTGATAGTCAACTCCCTCATGCTGATTGTACCCTTTAGCTATGAGCCTTGCTTTAAATCTCTCTATAGTACCATTGGCTTGATATTTAACCTTGAAGACCCATTTGCAGCCTATAGGAGACTTCCCTGGTGGCAGTTGAACAATTTTCCATATTTTGTTCTCTTCAAGGGCCTGTATCTCTGCCTTCATTGCTTCCATCCAACGTGGGTCCTGTGAAGTTTCTGAGAAAGTTCTTGGTTCAATGATTGATGTAAAATCTTCTAGGTAGTGTTGATAGTGTGGCTTTAGCTTATCATAACTAATATAGTTCTGCATAACATATGGGATATCGGGTCTAGTGTTGTTGTAGCTGTAATGTAGTCACTCATCATGCATGATTCATTTTATCTCTATCTGATCTTCTCAAAGGCTCCATATCTGGAACAACAGGTTGTGCAGAGGAAGGCAATATGGGCTCCTGAGGTGCATGAGACTCATGGTTGAGTTGGTTCTCATAACCAATGTCCTGCACATTTGGAGTAGGCAGTTAATTCAGATGGTCCTCATGGCCAATGTCAATATCCTGTACATATGGAGTACTAGGTTGATCTATCACTTTCACATCCTCAAGAGGAGAAGATGCGTCATCTGGTTCTGTTATAGAAGGAGTTTCTACACCAGGAAATGCATCATTATAAGAGTCATCTGGTTCCAAAAACAGATGGTATTGTGATTGCCTCCTATTTTTGAAAGGAAAGACTGTTTCCCTGAAGATAACATCCCTATTCACAAAGAACTTCTGATTATTCAAATCAAGTAACACATAGCCTTTTATCACTTCTGAACACCCCATTAGAACAACTGCTATAGCTTTTGTATCAAACTTATCATGGCTGTTCAGTTTCTTGGCATAGCAAAGACATTCAAATGTCCTTAAATGATACAAGTTGGCTTTGTGTTTATGGAATATTTCATATGGACTTTTACCCCTCAGAACCACTGATGGTAGTCTATTAATGATGTAGACTGCAGTGAGAACATAGTGCCCCAAGTACCTCGAAGGAATTCCTCCTTGAAATCTCAAGGCTCTTGCTACTTCTAATATATGTCTATGCTTCCTCTCAGCTATTCCATTCTGCCGAGGAGTATAGACACAAGTCTTCTAATGCACAATTCCATATTGCTGTAAGAGATCACTACACCCATTGCTTAAAAATTCTCCTCCATTAACTGATCTAATTGCACTGATTGTTCTGTTAAACTGATTCAATAACAGTTTAATGAAGTTTCTTAGCACAACCACCACATCATTTTTCAGCTTTAATAAGTACAGACAAGTCATTCTAGAGTGATCATCTACCATAGTAAGAAAGAGTTTATTTCCATCAAAGGTTTGTACATTATAAGGCCCCCATACATCAATGTGCAACAAGTTGAAAACTTCACAAGCTCTACTAGTACTGTCTGGGAAAGGCAATCTAGTGTGTCTAGATAATGGGCACACCACATTTTTTCAACTGACTTCTACAATTATTCTGAGAAAAATGAAAAATTTGACTCAATGGCTTCAAAGAGGCATGGCCTAATCTATTATGCCAAATTTCAACATCTTGTTTCTCCTTGCTTGCAACCAAGCTAACCAACTGATTTGCACTGTCTTTAGTAGGAGCTTATGTAAGCAGATATAGTCCTCCTCTTTCCTTACCAATCCTCCTTACCTTCCCACTGCAAAGGTCCTGGAACACACAGAATTCAGGAAAAAATAAAGTTGAGCATATTAATTCTCTTGTAAGCTTTGACACTGATAGTAGATTATTCTTAAAATCTAGGACAGCACATTGCTCACTACTTCCTTATCTGTCAATCTACAAGTCCCTGAATGAGTCACATGCGTGAAGGATCCATTAGGTAGATTAACTCTTTTTTCTTTTGGATCTCCTACTTTAACCGTGTTTTCCAACAGACTCAAGTTAGAGGTCATATGATTTGTCGCTCCAGTGTCTATAATCCACTCTTTGTTTTATGATCCTATGAAGAAAGCAATAATAGCATCATTACCTGCCATGTTGACTGAATTGACTGAGTTTTCTACTACATTTTCCATGCCTTGTTCAATCAACATCGAGTAAGCCTTGTTCACTGTTGGTATGGGAATCATCATTAGGATTTGGCTACGAGCTTGCCCATATGATTCGTTCCATCCTATCAGAAATTGCAGTAACTTCTGTCTCTTCATGAACTACACATAAACATGAGATCTAAGGCAATCGCATGGAGATAGATGTAGGGCATCAACCTCATCCCACAACAAGCGTAATTTTGAAAAATAAGTAGCAACACTACTGGTTCCATAAGTCACAATCGCAATTTGTTTGTGAAGCTGGAATATTCGAGATCCATCAATTTTGTCGAATCTCTCCTTCAAATCACTCCAAACTACACTGACACTTGATGAATACACTATTCTACTAAGCAATTGACTTGAAACACAATTTATTATCCACGACAACACAATCGCATTGCATCTCTCCCAAAGACCAGTCAAATTCAGACCAAACTTCTCCTTCCTACATGTTCAATCGATGAAACCTAACTTGTTATGACCTAGGATTGCAATTCTCATCTCACGACTCCACACTGAGTAGTTTTCTGATCATGTCAGTTGCATAGAGATCAACGCAATCCCTGAATTGTTGGTAGAATTAAGGAAAAGAGGATGATTATGGCTCAATTTCTTTGGTACTTCATTGTCTACCTCTGTCGCCATATTTCTCACAAACTCCGTGTGTAATAAAGCTTCAATTGAAGAATACGTCCACATTAATGGTCGCTAGGGCTCTGATACCATGTGAAGAATATCATTTCTCAACTCATGGCTCACAATCTCTGTGAGCCCTAACACATGCAGATCGAGAGGGAGCTAGTTTTAGAGAGAAGAAATGAAGCAATTAGTTGTGCACTGAGTTTTGGAAATTTTTTGAATGAATATTTCAATAGCTGTACATGGCTTTATACACGTGTTTCTCAACATAATTAACCGACCTTCTTAACACTCCTAATTACAGTTATAACTAACTATCTTACTTCAGTTAACACTACTAACTACAGTTACTACACCATAGTTGAAAAATAGGTATTTGATAAAGTTTATCCGACAGGCATATTATTTTTATTACATTCCAAGAAATCTTATTAACGTATTTCTTATGCATTTCATGCATTTATACATGTATATTGACCTAATGACCAGAGGGCGTTATATACGCGTATATATATATATATANGACCTCAGAGGCCTGATGGTGTTATGAAACATGTACCTATGCACGACATGACAATCATACGCATATGCATGACACTATAATTATTTCATGATTTACAGAGTTATCCAGACTTACAGGTTTAGTCATTTACTCTATAATTCTTCCATGTCTGTTATGTACTTATTTATGTGCCTTACATACTCGGTACATTATTCGTACTGACGTCCCTTTTGCCTGGGGATGCTGCGTTTCATGCCCGCAGGTCCTGATAGACAGGTCTAGAGTCCTCCAAGTAGGCTATCAGCTCAGCGGTAGGTGTTGGTGAGCACCATTTGCTCCGAAGTTGCTTATGTGGTCAGTATGATTAGGACATGTACTGATTAGTATGGCGGGCCCCTGTCCCGACCTTTATGACATTTATGTATTCTTAGAGGCTTGTATACATATATCGTGTACGTAAAAGATTGTACGGCCCTGTCGGCCTATGTTTTGAGTTTATAAATGATCATGTTGGCCTATTAGGCCCGTATGTCACGTGTATATGATGATGTAATAAGAAAGATACGTTACGTTGGTACTCGTTGAGTAAGGTACCGGGTGCCGGTCTCGCCCGCAGGTTCGGGGCATGACAGAAGTAGTATTAGACCAGTTCTGTCCTAGGGAGTTTACAAGCCATGTCTAGTAGAGTCTTGTTTATAGGTGTGTTGTGCACCACACTTATAAGCAGGAGGCTATAGGGCATTTAGGACTGTCACTCTTTTTTCTTACTCTAGATCGTGTGGTAGAGCTCACTTATAAGAATTTAAATCCCGAACTTCTATTCGTAATAAGTCAATGCCTACATTCAGAAAGACGATCGATAAGAAATATAGCTGTGGAAGTGTTAAGTTAAAGGAAACTCGATTTTGCATCTTGCTTATGATGAGTAAATAAGAGGTCTTAAGCAGATCATGCGTATACTAAAAGGTGTACGGTTCTTGATAAGGAGTTTTTAGGAAAGAATACTTATCCACTCTTACGGTAAAATAGAATAACGGAATCGAAAGTTAGACACGCATTGCAGCAAGTAAAAGAAGCAAGGTGAAGAAGGGTACGAGGTACCCAGTTAATAAAGATTATCCTTATTTACCATTCAGGAAGAGAGATATAAGCATTTTGAGTTACCTTTAACAGTAACATAGGTATGTATAATTGGCCACACTGATCTGAGTTATGCTCTATGGGAGCTAACAAATATGGTTTAAGAGAAGGACATAATATCATAATCCGGCTGGGGTTAGGGTGAGCCAAAATGGTGGATGAATTATTTGCGTTAGTTGACATTTCTGAAGGATATTGCAAATGTGCTAATAGATCTCCTTGTGAGACACCCAGATGATGCACACTAAAATAGTACAGCTAGATATGAGTACTACAAAGATAGGAACTAGAAACCTTGAATGGATAAATATTATCTTAGTATGGCTCCCGTCCCTAGTAGAGGGAGAATGTTAGGCAGCCCGAAGAGCCAGTAGATGGAGCAAGGGAAGGTAAAAAGCGAAAAAATGTCTTGTTAAAGTTTTCAGGATAAAGTGATAAATAGAAATATTAGCAGGGAAGTACGAAGAGGGATAATGAAGCATTATGGGTGAGATGTGATACATGGATGGCAACAGTAGAGTGTTACAGAATCTATAGTCAAATGAAAAAAGGATACGGGAGGTGATGTGCCTTAAGACAACAAGAGAGTATAGGCCATACAGTCACATCCTAATTTCGAGAAATAAGTTCGCGACTCTAACGTGATTAACAGAAGGAAAAGTTAGACCCCAGAGTAATAGAAACCAGTATGGATTGGTGAACAAGATAAATTAAACATGAATTAGGGACTGAGTGATTTGATAATAGTCAGCATCATGAGAATTTCAGATTTCGTTCCGGCGATAAAAGAATGGACAACAGAAGAATATTCATGAGGAATTCAGAGAAAGGTCATTCAAGAAGACACTTTCCTAAAAGGAAGCAATGTGAGCAAAGTTAAGCTTAAAGGACTAAGTGTGCCAGTTACATTAAGTGTCACCCTCGTGAGTAAGGAATTTTATTATCCTTAGTGCAGAAGGATTACCGCAAGGCGGGTAAGAGTCGTCGATAATGTGAAAAGATGCCAATGAGGTAAAACATCTATACGTAGATCATTGTAGCGCTAAATCTTAGTACTTCCCTAAATGGGGGATTCAGCCTCACAGTTATGACATTATAATACTTGAGATAGATTCTATTCATATGGGGGAGTTAAAAAGGTACCGTATGAGTATTACAGAAATAAAAGAGAATGCCGTTGGGAAGATAGTAAAAATATCAAGTTTAGAAGCAAACCTACAAGCATAAGGGCGTGGAGGTAAGTAACTACGGATAATTATAGGCGATGAAGGACATCAAAAATTCCGTCGGGTAAACAAGGTAATAAGCTCGCAGCCTTGCAAAAATCAGGTGGTCCTCCCTAAGTACTACAATGGAAGACCAGTTGAGGAAATATGGCAGAAGACTTCAACCTAAGCATAGTACCTTGAAGAAGAAATGGTCATGTAAAAACAATCTCACAACAATATTGTATGCACTCCATAAGAAAATAGAACCTACCATAGCTAATGAACGAAAAGTAAAATCAGCCGTGATATTCAAGGTCATGTGAGTTGTATGGAATTTCAATATGCGTGGGCACTAAGATAAGTTAAGTATGCACGCAAAAAAGGG